TAGCAGCCTTTTCCTTTTCACAGTTCATTTGCTAAATTAGGTATTATAAAAATAGTTTGGTGTGACTGGGAGGATCTGTGAACTTCATTGGCTTTACCATTTCTCAGTGATGACTGCTTTATGTTGGGTACATGGTCATCTCTTTTATGGTACAAGCAGGCAATTCATCCACATACATATGTTAAAGTCCCTGTGGAATGTTCTCACATTAAGAGAGCAAAGAGTCACTACCTCAGAAGCAAGCTACACCCCAAATGTTGCAGACCCTTATATTCCACCCTACATGCCACCCAGTAAGAAGAGACGTTTACAACTGCTATGGAAAAAAAAAAAGTCAGCCTAGCCCAAATAAAATGCAGCTTAGAGGATTTATCTCATTTTCTTTTTCCTTCTCAATTCTTTGGGGCAGAAGAGTAAAATAATAATCTACATTTATTTCTTTCACTTATCAAACTTGCATGCTGCTCATCTTGTTGGAGACGACTTTAGGAGGCTTACAGACATTGAATAAAATACAGAATAATCATTAAAACAATAAATAAAAATCCTAAATTTAAAACTGAAATTAAAATTTATTTTATTTCTGGAGAAACAAAACATGACCAAATTTGTCTGATTTTTTTTTACAATGGAGGAAGACCCCAGTTAATTTTTATCATGCTAAAATAGTCAAGTTCCACAGTAGTTGCACTGAAGATGCATCCCAGATCCATATAAGTTTATATCTTTAGTTCAATGGGATATGTTTTTCCTATTTTTAAATTTCTCAAAAAGGAAAATAATTTCCCCCCTGTATTTCCTCATTTATGCTTCTTCATATAATTCAAAGTAAGGAATGTGTGGCTTTTCAAATGTGTTGAATTTCAGGTCCAAAAACTCCAGCCAACATGGTGAGTACTGGGTAATAAACAGCATGAATTATAATAGCTCAGCAACATGTGGGGGGGGGGAGAAGAGGCACAGACTGTCCATTCTCAAATCTCATCCAAGCATATTCATTTTTCCCTATTTCTTTGGCAAGACTCATTTTGCATTAAAAGAAATATTAAGCAGATTTCCCATCATTACATTGGGAAATTAGGAAAAAAACCTTTCTTTTGCTGAAATTCTATTCGTCCTTTCAGAAATTATAAATTGTGCAATTTAATTGCAAATATACTTAGCTCTGGTTCTTCCTGACAAAATTGGAACACTTTGACACAACGATTTTCTACAATCTTGTTTAAAAAGAACTGATGGGAAGCCATGAAAGCAAATGTCATAAAACTGTCCCCGCCTTTTTAATAACTCTTCCCCCCCCCCATGGAGTGACTTATCCAAGTCTAAACAGGTTTACTCCACATACATAATTGTCAATGAAGTAAACAGAATGGTAAAAATATGACTGAAGAATGAACTATACATATAAATAAAATAGTATGGTAAACTACTATATTATACTAATACTAATACTATAATATTACTATACTTCTGTAATGTGATGTTCTCCATTCATTATAACTGGTATTCTATTAGGTAAAGCATTATTTTAATGAAATACACCCTTGTATTTTATCTGTGTATGAAGACTGATATTATTTATGTGACAGAAGCTACTATTTGAATTAACAAATCTGTTACTCAGAGGCCCATAGAATTCAGTGGATCATTCTGAAACAAATGAATTTTCCATTTTGATAAGGCTCCAACCTAATAAGACTTTCATTTAGAGTATCTTTCCAACAGATCTTAAATTTAGACTTCAAAGAATATTATATAAATCTTCATTATGAAAAGATGTTCATGCCATAAAATTAAAAGACAATATTCTCACAATGAGCAGCATCATTCTTCCATTCATCTAGAATTTTCCCTAGCCACTTGCCATTAACTGCTGCCACAATTCTGAAGATAGCAATAAGAGACAGCCCTCCTACCCACCCACCCCCCAAGCTGAGGGTAATGCCATTCCATCATGAACTGGCAGGGGGTTGGTACCAAAGCAATTTGGTCAGTAGCCATTCTCTTGGATACAATGCTGATCAATCATGCTTCTGACATGATTGGGTCTCTAGGGGAACCAGACTTTTGGGGGGAGATACAGTAACGGAAAGCATCAAACTCTCAATATAGCAGAGCAATTTCTGCAAGGTATGCCGATGAGGAGTCTGCTGTGTAACAACTATGTCTTGTTTGATGGGAAAATGTTTTAGTTTTTAATAAAAGAGATATGTCAGACATCAATTTCTTGACCATCCCCTTCTCTTGTCTCTTTTCAGTTCCATTTCTTAAATTCCCTATTAATTAGGGAATAACTTCATCACTTATATCGGTGAGCTGCAAAAAGGATCAAAAATGTTTAATAGATGTGTAGGTCACAGTGTCAATTATTAATTGTGCAGTTCTTATCTCACAATTCCAATGATGTTCAGAAAGAAAATAATGCTAAGCCTAATGGACGATCACCTCAGTCCTGATTATAGACCAATAAATTCTTACCCCACACTCACATCACTAAAATGGAGTGGCTCATTTTCATGGCTCTGGAAAAACGTTTCAATCAAACTCCTCTGTATCTGTCTCAAGATATGATCAGTTGTTCAAATCAAGTTGAAAAACAAACAAGCTGATGTTTTCATCTGGTCCTTTTATGTTAGTAACTTGTATCCATTTATAAGCAACACAATGGTCACTTAATGATTCTAATCTCTTAAATTACAAGATTAATTACAATACCATTAGAACTCAGGAGATATATGACATTAAAGGAGCAACATTTTCCAGACAGTATTAATAATTAGCTCAGGAATTTAAGTTTCCTAAATTTGATTCATTTACACAAGTATAGGTATCTCATGGAACACCATATTCAGAGCTCAGAAAACAGAGGTTGAATGAATAAATATAGCCTAAGCAACAGACTTTGAGGCATCTTATTCATTAAATTCTGTCCTCTATATATTTTTTAATCAGAATATTTCCTACCATACCAAAATTATGATAGAAATACCAATTAGCAGATGTTCTTTTGTTAAATCAGTGAAAGGCACAGTAGTCTCATCAAGATCAGGACTTAGCAATGTTATTATGCTAAACTAAGATGGAAAACCTATGTAAAATTTAAAAATGAATTATTTGATCTTAATCTTTGGTATTTATTATATTGTATAAACATCTTAAATGAAAAGCTGCTCTTGGAAAATAATGCAGATTGAGGACATTTTTTTCTGTAAAGTACAGGCTATGTAAATGATCTTTTAATACAAAATAATAGTTGAAATAAATAAGATTTTTTTTAAAAAAAACTCTATCAGCTATTCATAGACAAAGGAGAATCATCAAAAATTGCTTTGAGTTTTGCTTCTCACTTTGCCTGGGAAACATCAAGGGGGTAGCTGCAGTTACGCAAAGTTTGTGAACTTGCTTGACAGACACAAAATAGATTAGGAAAAGAAAATGGCTTATTTATGTGTTGCCTAATACTAACTTCATTCATCACTAATGTTATTCATGGCAGGAAAGAGACAAAGAGATTTGTTTATCATTTTAAGGCATCATAGTACTGCAAAATTTGAAAAACTCTGGCATAATTAGTAACCATATATTTTCATCAATAGTGGAATAATACTTTGTATGATTACTCCAAATGACTTTCTTATCCTACTCCAAGTAACTTACACCATATTAAGCAGAGGAACTGCTTTAAAGGAAATAAGGCACAAGCTATAGCTGAATTTAAATGAAGGTTTACCTACTGCAGATCAACAGGTTTTCTTTTTGCAAAAAAATATCAGTAGAATACTTTTACTAAGGCATTTTTTTTGTGTTTCAGTATTATTAATAAATATTAAGTATTGTTAACAATACTTTTCATGTGTTTATTCAGATCAGGCATTGTTAGCCCTGATTATTTGGATCCTTTCTGTCATACTCAGAACTCCTCTAAAAATAGGAATAGTACACCAGCTACTTTCCAATATTTAGAAGCAGAGGCCAGTTTGGGTAATAAATTGCGTATGTACATTTTAAGAGAATTTTTACCATTTCAGTTAGGAAAACTGGTTATGTATTAATTTTCATTTGTTAATACAGATAGTCCGCAACTTACAACAGTTCATTTAGTGACCGTTCAAATTTTGGGCTCAATTGTGGCTGTAAGTTGAGGACTAGCTGTATTTATATTGTGATCTAAAAAAACTTTAAAATGTTGATTAAAATACATTTTCTTTACTATCAATGCCTGCACGCATCAATGAAAGTATATATTTTTGGTTTTATAAATTAATTGCTTTAATACAAATAAAAGTTTGTGAAAGTTAATTGGGATCTATCCTTTTATATATACATAGTTAAAAAGTCACTATATCACACTCTATACCAGGGATAGGCAGCCTTGGCTCTTTTATGACTCATGGACTTCAACTCCCAGAATTCCTGAGCCAGCCGTGCTGGCTCAGGAATTCTGGGAGCTGAAGTCCATGAGTCATAAAAGAGCCAAGATTGCCTACCCCTGCTCTATACCAGCTAAGGACAGTTTGTGGTAGCAATTAACATGTTGGACAAGAACTAGGGAGACTCTGTTTCAAATCCATCTAAAAGCTGAATACTTTTTATCTAGTGACTCTGAGATCAATCTCTCTCACAAGTCTGTTGAGGTAAAATGGGGATCTTCGGGTTAGTTGTTTTTATCATCTGGATAACTGTGAGATATAAACTAGATGAGTGGTTCTCAGTCTTTTTCATCTTATGGCATGAAGGATTTTTAGGTGGATAAACTGGAAGTCTTGTGACATCACAAGTTGCTGAGGAATCAGGTGATGAAATTGAGAAATGGAGGCAGTCCATCCTCAGTGATGTCACGAAAGCGGTATTCTGGCTGCACAGCACTTCTTATCATTTAGACTGGCTCACTAATAGGGCACACCTATGAACCTTTTGCAGTACACAGATATGCCAGAGCTCAGCAGTTGAAAAAAAGCTGAACTAGACAAATAAATACACTTGTTAGTTTTATGCCTTAATTGCAACAAATATTCTTTATTAGTTTAAGGCCCAAATATGGATACTTGTGATACTTGCAGGAAATTGGTTAAGATTTAACTGGCAGTCTCTTCTTTTAAGGTTCCTCCACAATCACATTATTCCGCAACTTAGGTGTATTTGGATTATTTTCGATTAGCCAATCAGCCAGCCACATCTATCCAAAAGAGCAACAACAAAATTCCTCGTTTAATTTCTGTATCAAGATACAGTTTGCTAAGAGGAGGCATTCAAACTCTGTATTTCTCCTGACCAAATTCCTTTAATATTTCTCTTTTATAAAACAGTGAGGAAAGTAGAAACTCTTTAAAATTCCTAAACCTTTCTTTTAATGATTCTTTGCTTTTGAAAATATACCAGTTTGTCTGAGTAGATGATGGTGAAGGAGGCAGTCAGTCTAGACTGCTCCTGAAACACAAAAGCTCACCAATTATGGGCATTCTAGCTTGAAGGGACCAAACTCAATATGCATATAAACAACTACTGCTCTTATCAACCATCAATTTTTCCTTTGGATTTCTATCTGTTATGGAGCAAGGGACATTTTTTCCTTAGCAAAGTAAGGCGACCAGTTGTTATCTCATACTCATTCTGCCTCTTGATACGGGTCTTTCTTGTGATACATACAAAAGGATCTGCTGGTTTCTTCTTAGATAGCGCTGTCAGTCCTTTCAGTAGAGTAGGTATGACATATAAATTAAGGTAATCCTTAGCAGCTTGCTTAGTTGGAATTGGTTCAATCAATACTGGGGGGAAAAAAGAAATACATTTAATATACTGATTTAAAACCAATAATTTGCCTTCTACTGCTGAACACATATTCCATGCTTGTCTTCTCATAGATAATAGCATTTCAAGCTGAAATCACTATTATTATTATTATTTTTAAATCCAGACAAGAATGTCATGAAGAAAACTACTGTATTTCAGTATAGCAACATGGTAAATTTTGTTTTTTTTTCCCTCCGTCACATTGTGAACTTACTCATAATAATTAACTATGGGAGAGTAAAAAATAAAGCCTTTTTTTTACAATATGTGTAGGCCACTGATTCCACATGGATTCTTCAGATAAGATTTGAAATCATACCTCATTTGCCAGATAATAAACAAACAAACTCAATTCATATTTTCCAGAAGGGTCATATAGAACCCAGGATCCAAATATAAATCATTCTTCTTTAAATCAGCTTATATTTAACAGGTGATTAGATGGGATGGAAGAGATTTTAGTGCATAAACTCATTTCAGGTAAGTAGCATTATCACATAAGAAATATACAATGAACATTACAGAAGTTCAACTGGAGCATTAGCTTGGCCTCCTACCAAAGATAGTGCCATCTCAAGAACCAGAATTTTTTTTAGATTTTTTTTTCTAGAAAGCTTCCTCTTGAATCTCCTTCTCTTGCATTACAAATCACCTTTGAGTTCTTCTTCTAAACTAAACTCTAGAACAGTGGTTCTCAACCTTTTAATGCCGCAACCCCCAACCAGTCGTAAGTCGAGGACTACCCAACCGGTCGTAAGTCGAGGACTTTCCCTGCCCGGGAGCGCCACACATGCGTGGTGCTGCCCCCTGCACCGGCCGAGGCGTAGCTGGCAAGCGGCAGAGACAGTGCAGGCCGACAACCGGCTGGGCCACCAGCTGGCCCAGCTCAAGGGAGGTAAGGCACCCGCCGGGCCCCACGCGCGCCAGCAACCCTCCCTGTGCCCGCTGGCCTCCCACCTCCCACCCCTGGCCCTCTTTTGCTTACATTTTTAGTAGTTGCTCAGCAGGGAGGGGTGGAAGCTTCCAGACAGCTCGCCTTCGCTGCAGACAACTTGCAGCACCGTTTGCAGAATGGGACTTTTGGCAGGCTCAGCAGGGCAGAGACAGCTGGACAATTCCTATTGGCTTTTGAAAGCCAATAAAATTAGACTCTATTCAAGAGAGTCTATTCTATTGGCTTTCAACAGCCAATAGAATAAAAGGGAGTAGCACAGCTAAGGAAAAGGGGGAAAAAATGGCGGACTACGTTGTTTGGCGACCCCCGTGAAATGGTCGTTCGACCCCAAATGGGGTCCCGACCCACAGGTTGAGAACCGCTGCTCTAGAGCTAGTCCTTCTTAAAAAAAAAATCTACAGCTTTTCTACTTATATTTTTGCACAAAAAGCAATTTGTAGCACCACTAGATAGCAGCAAAGAGTTAATCTGCCAGCCAACAATCATCCAAATTTGTGCGACTTTAATATGATATGCCTACTGTAGCTCTGCAGGCTGCAGTCCAAGATGTAATTAATTAGATTATCATATTATTGTTTGTCAATCCCAAACGGGTACAAATATAGTAAATGGATAAAGATATATGTAAGGTTCAACTGGAGCATTAGCTTGGCCTCCTACCAAGAATAGTGCCATCTCAAAAACCACAATCTAATTTTTTTTCAAAAAGCTTCCTCTTGAATTTTCTTCTCTTGCATTATGTATCAAGAGGTTGCCATAAAGAAGAAGGGATCAACCAATTCTCCAAAGTATCTGAAGGCAGGACAAGAAGCAATGGATGGGAATTAATCAAGGAGAGAAGCAACCTAGAACTAAAGAGACATTTCCTGACAGTCAAAACAATTAATCAATGGAATGATCTGCCTCCATAAGTTGTGAATGCTCCAACACAGGAAATTTTTAAGAAGAGATTGGACAACCATTTATCTGAAATGGTATAGGTGGGTTTCCTGCCTGAGCAGGAATTTGGACTAGAAGATCTCCAACGTCCCTTCCAACTCTATTATTCTGTTTACCTAGAAAAGTCTTAAATCAAAAGGAGCCACAGAGAGCTTATTATTGATATACAGTACAGTTCATCTGAGCTTATCACATGGTAATCCATAACAAAAGGATTACCATAAAAGAAAAAAAAATCTCAAATATAGCGGTCAATATCAGCCACGTGTCTCTGTTACTATTTGGAGCCTATTTGAACACATTTTGAATTATGTTTTCAAATATTTGCAACCTCCATAAACTTCACAAAAGCTAGGAATAACTATGGAATAAAGACTTGATGATAAACTAGAATGACCTACAGAAAATATGCAGATATCCAATTCAAATACTAATAAGAGCATCATACATACCAACCTCATTTGTGCTAGCACATTTTATTTTGAGTTGCAAATGAATATTTTCTCATATCAACATGAGGATTTATGATAAAGATTGCAAATTGAAACTTACACTGACTTTGAGCTGAGAGTGAATGGTTGATCCAACTCCTCACACTGTTTAGCTATTAGGAGGATAAACTTAAGGAAATCATCATCTATGCTGCCTTCAACAATTAGATAAAAGGTGAGGAGATATGATATGTAGAGGTGTATGAATGAAATAATATGCGATCACCAGGAGAGTTTAAATAAGAAAAATACTTTACTAAAAGCTGCCAAACATTCGCTGGGAACTCCCAACATCGTCAGGGCTAAAAAGCCAGTTTAACAAGAATAACTTAAATAGGTTTGGCTGATATCTGCACCTGGCTCAAAGACTGCGTCACCGGCCCCAGCCGATCAATTAATGTTCCAGATGTTTCTTTGGTGTTACATTCTCTTCTGTCATTCCTTCGGACCTTCCTACCTGCCCCTTCGTTATCAATTTTTAAATTTGTTAACACCCTTGTATCCCCCTCCCCTTCAGTGATATTTACTCCCATCACATCCTTCTTTCTGCTACGAGTCTCAGGGGCGTTTGATTTAGTGTTAATCTTCATTCCGTTAGGGCTCCAGGTACTTTTCACCCCCTTTGATTGTGGATCGATGTTTTCTTCCTGTTCTGTATTCCCCTCTCCCTTGACCATATGAGTAACACTTATCCGGGCATTGTGTGTTCCGGTGCTTATGTTTCCACCCCCCACCACGGCATTCTCTACATCAGTGGTTCTCAACCTGTGGGTCGGGACCCCATTTGGGGTCGAATGACTATTTCACGGGGGTCGTCAAACCACACTGTCCGCCATTTTTTTCCCTTTTCCCTAGCTGTCTTACTCCCTCTTATTGGTGGCCACACCCACTTGGGGGTCACCACAACATGGGGAACTGTATTATGGGGTCACGGCATTAGAAAGTTTGAGAACCACTGCTCTACATCAACCGTCTTTCGTTGTTTAGTGTCCAGAGTGGATCCTTCACGCTCCTCCTGGGAAGGATTTAACTGCAAGTAGGAGCGTTCTTTATCCGTTGCTTCTCGTCCATTCATGAAATGAACGGGAGGAATATTTCTCCCCCCTTTGCTGAATGAGCGAGTCGTCATTCCACATCTTCTCTCCCTCCTCCGTATTGGGCATCCCTCTTCGCTACCGCAAACAGTACCAAGCTCTGGTAGTAGAGGTATATATGTATATATACACACACAAAATAAATTGATTTTCTCTACCTGGTATATGCATACAGGGTGACATTATTACACAACAATCTGCTATATTTAGTTTCTTTAGTTTCTTCATAGCAGGAAAGATGGTAAATACATACCTTCAGGAAACATGAATCGGATTTCTGTTTCAGCTGAGGAAAAGTTGGCACTACCATGAAGTCCATTCCTCAGATCATCTGTTCCATAGATTGCTCTTAAACTGAAAGCAACACAGATATGCTCACAGAGATGCAGTGCAAAACTATTCAATTTCAATTTAGTATGACTCTAATGCAACTTTCATTGAGTTACAGGAATATCCCCACAAACACTCTTAGCAACAATTAAGATAAGCTTATGATTAGTCTTTTTTATTTAATAAAACAGATGTAACATGGATCTCTGCCATGAGTCTTCTATTTGTCCCTTAAGTGTCGCCTTCCTTTATTAAAATAATCCTTAATCTATAAAATAGTCCTAATTCATATAGCAGGTACATGGGACAGCACAGGGGTAAGTCAGAGAAGTTTTATATTGCTTAGAGATCAGTCTGATACACAAGTTTAAATATATGAAACATAATTACATTGTGTAGTCTTAAATTGATAATACTTGTGAAATCAAAGATGCAATAGTAAAATCTGTAAGTTCGTTTTAAGATAGTTTTAAGTAATTAATTAATTTACCTGTCAGGATGTGTTTCCTTAGCTACTATACTACTTGAAGGTCCAAGAAGTTCTTTCCAGTATGAGATTGCCTTTTGCCGAGCAAGAACCATTGCAACTAAAGGTCCAGAACTCATGTAAGCTGTCAGATTTGGAAAGAACATTTTCCCATACTGTTCTACATAGAAGTTGCTACATTGCTCTGGACTTAGCTGAAGCTTTCTTTTCTATAAATGAAATGAAAATATCTCTAAATGCACTGTTCAAAAGCAATCAAATATGATACCTTGCATAACTGTACTGCTATAAAAGCACAGTAATCTGTATGAAGCTCTTTCTGATTAGTACCGTATATAGATTAACCATTTAGACCTCCCTCTTGTTCAGCTGATGTCATAGGGGAGCTTGTAATAATAGTTACAGGTTCTTGACAGCCTCAAAATACTAATTCTTAATACAAATATTAAATGAAATTTAATTAATATTAAGACCACTCTCAGTTCTTAAAATGAAATCCTTGTTTACCATAAACTTGTCATTCAAATTTATTGTTACTACTGTTACTACTTTAATGCTTTATGCTTTCCTTCCCCTGTCCTTACCACTTTTTACAGAGGGACATTTGAGAGCATCCTGTCATACAGCATCACAGTCTGGTTTGGAAGCATCACTGCTTCCGACAGGAAGGCGGTGCAGAGTGGTGAGAATGGTCGAAAAGATGATTGGCAGTTCCCTCCCTCTCGTCCAGGACATAGCACAGAAGCATTGCTTGAGCAGGGTCCGTAAGATTGTCTGGGACACTACATATCCTCTTCATGACCTGTTTTCTTTGTTACCTTCTGAGAGGAGGCTTCCTGCTATCCGAAGCAGAATGTCCAGATTCAGTCAGTTTTGTTCCATACAATATTAACCTTGTGAACTCTAAAGCTTCCTCCTTCCATTATGTATTCAAGATAGACAGTGATAATTATTTATATGTTACTTATATTATATGTAAGGGTATAGATCTATACATGTTGTATATAGTATGTTTAAATTTGTGTTATGTATGTGTACACTTTGAGAGCTAGCAACTAAATTTCATTTTTATTGTGTGCCATTGTGCCCACAGTAAAAAATGACAATAAAGATTATCTATCTCAGATGGAATTGTTGCTTTATAAAAACAAATATAGTCTTTGATTTGAAAATTTCCAGTAGTCAAAGAGTGACATCTGGTGGAAACTTTTAATAGCTTATCTCTAGACACAATTTCTCCAGAACTGCTGCATTGTCAGTTCCTATATAAAAATAGTATGTATATTTTATAAAAATATCAGCTCAAGCAGTTTTACATAATAAGAAGTGACCCACACACTAGAGCAGATGTGTCAAACTCACGACATCACATGATGTTGCGCAAAGTATTGGGACGGTTTTCCCATTGCCAGCAATAGGGTGGGTGAGGCTTCCGGATGATGCGTCCGGCCCATGGGCCAGCAGTTTCACACCCCTATACTAGAGTATTAAGAATATTTGTTAAGTGATTATGGTATATAATGTGAATTAATGTTAGTGATCCTGGAATTTCACAGCTGTTATTAAAACTTAAAATGTATTGTAGCAACCCAAAGTGCATACAATTGTTGTACAGTGTACCGCATATAACAAAATTATTTTCTAATAGACAAATGCACTGCTCTATTTACACTGATTTTGGTCAGTAATTAAAGACCACTCAGTTCAGTTATGTTATTGATATGGCAACATAAGCTTACAAGCTGTTTCATAACTAAATAATATGTATCATCTAACATGACCACATTTTAATTGGGCCTTGTTCCTCAATATCTTTCTGTCATTCTTTTGTGAAAGCATAACCCTGAAAAAGATAAATTAGAAATCCAAATTTCTCTTGTATTACCTGAACAATAGTAAATCCTGATCTGAGAATTATATCTTCTATTTCTACTTCTTTGTTGATAATATCTGGCTTGATGATTGCCAAGGTTCTTTCAACATAAATTTGAGGCTCGGGCATTAAAGTCTGCATTTTTCAGATTAAAATTCACGTTGTCTTTTCCCACTGAAATGATAGAATTATTATACCTTTAACATATATTCTTATTTGAGGAATTAAAGAACAGTAATCTGACCTTTCAAAATAATAATTTTCTCCAAAGTACACTACATTAGCCAAAATAGGACTTCTCACCTATTATGCACATTTACTCTAGCTGAGAATTAGGACAGCAGTGCTGAAGGTTCATCATTGGCTTGTAAATTAAAAATCATATGGAAATAGTCTAGCCTATTTCCCAAAAGAACAAAATGACAAGTTAAGAGACGTGCCTCCTGCATCATCCAGAAAAGTAGAGCTCTTTGACCTTTTCGTCTTTGCCAGAAAGCTAAACAATTTTGTGTAAATTTCAACATCTGAGTAATTACAAAAATCTTACCAACCCTTACTCGCCCAATACTGCTATATTTACTGGGGCTTTACCCCTTGATGAAAAAGATCGGATGGCAGTCCTCCGTAAAGCTATCTATGCCTAATCGGCATGAGTAACTTCTTTCCGCGGATCTCATGAACTAAGTGCTAAGTAAGCGTGCAGAGAATTGCAACCTCAAACGACACCCCCTTTCTCTGCCGCCCCCACCCCCCTGTAATTTTGCACGTGACTTTTCGGTGTCACCGAGCCAAAGCTACCCCCAACGAGAAATCGCCTCTACATGCCTGCTAATTAAGCCCTACCGCGCCAAATACGGTTGCTAGACAACCAGTCAAACTACTGGGAAAACACTGTCTACGGTAGCCGACAGGATCAGGTTCGAAACGTACATTGGCTTCGCTTTTAACATTTTCTGTCTAGGAGGTTTTACAGCATATCGCTAGCTTTTGTATGAGCAGACCGTTCCTATCATAACCGTATATACTTTGGTACATGTATTATTTTAAATTTAAAGCTACCGATGTGGGCTACAAAAATTTGGAGGAACAGAAGAAATCAGAAAAAATAATACGTGTTCTGCCAACTAGTAGGTCCCTGCATTTTGGAAGGCGGGTTTGGTCGCTTGCATACTAGCCCCGTCCGTGGTGTTGTATGAAGAATGAAACTCGCGTTCCTTCCCGGAAAAGCCTACTACCGTACTTCTTTCATTAATCAGATGCCTCCCAGTTACACTGGTCTCCTCTTTCAATCAATTAGCAAAAGGGAACCACTCAGCAGTAAATTCCTCTTCTGTCAGTATTGCTCTTAGGATCATTGGTAATTTCCTAAGAATTTCCTAGGAAAACAGAAAAGCCACCTAAAAATGAAGCAATGTAAAAGATGGATAGTCAACTGTTTGAAACTGCTGATTTCATTGGAAGCCCTGTTAGAGCAAGAGTGGAAAGTAAATACTTCATCTAATTAATAGACTTTTGATAATTAAAGTAATTAATAAATATATTTGCATTGTGTTCATTTTTAATCCATATTTAACAATGAATAATTCAAGGAACATTTTAAATGGGTTTGTGAAAATGCCAGACTTTTAACACTTTGCATTGATTCAATGTAAGGGGATTGGATGGATTGTATAGATTTATATTTGGCAAAAATATAACTACAAGGCAAGCAATCTCATTCCACTTGTTTCTAAATATCTGTTCCAGAAGTGATATAAAATGTTTGCTACCATAAGATAAAAATATGCTGATGACAGCCTTTTGAAGTAATCCAGACTAGGAAATCAGAGTTATGAATAGTAATACTATTTTTATTAGAAGGTTGCAGTAACAGAATCTTGTCTGAATGGACTTTCCCTCTCCCTCTCTTTATCTTTATGAGTAGTAGAGAGGTTTTCTCTGAGACCAAATTGGTATTTGAGTATGTCTAGTTTAATTAGGTATGTCTAGTTTAATGAAAAGAAGACTAAGGGTGACATGATAGCAATGTTCAATATCTAAGAGGCTGCCACAAAGAAGAGGGAGTCAACCTATTCTCCAAAGCACCTGAAGACAAGTCAAGAAGCAATGGATGGAAACTAATTGAGAGAAGCAACCTAGAACTAAGGAGAAATTTCCTGACAGTTAGAACAATTAATCAATGGAATGACTTGGCTCTAGAAGTTGTGAATGCTCCAACCTGGAAATTTTAAAGAAGAGATTGGACAACCATTTGTCTGAAATGGTATAGGTTTTCCTGCTTGAGCAGGGGGTTGGATTAGAACAGGGGTGTCAAACTGCCAGCCTGCAGGCTGGACGTGTCATCAGGAAACCAAGCCTACCCCATTGCCGGCAATGGCAAAAAAGCTCCAATACGTTGCGCGACATCATGTGACGTCGAGAGTTTGACATGTCTGGATTAGAAGATCTCCAAGTCCCTTCTAACTCTGTTATTTTGTTATTTGAATTGACATTTGTTTTAAAATTCAAAAAGTGAACAAATGGTTTTATACATTTTTTAAAAATGTAGATAAAGTGTAACTATATAAACAGTAATGGTTAAAGTGTTAGACTATGATCAGAGAGATCCATGATTATGCCGAGCCTAGGCTCTTCACCTACTTTACAGGCTTGTGTTATCAGGAAATTTGAAATGCTCTGGATACTTTGGACTTCTGAAGGAAAGGTGGGAATTTGAATCTTATAAAATTAATACAATCCCATACAAATCTACTAAGAAATAAGACTGTCTCCTGTTATTTATTTATATATATTTCTTTTTCTTCTTTCCCTTCACTTATCAATAAATTGCTGATGCTATGCAAATAGTATTTAGAAATCTAATGTGTGTAATTTCATAAGTGTAATCATATCTATATGGCTGAACCACATCAATAGTATGGTTTTTTTACCAGTTTTGTACCAATCACTTCTTCCGTATTCAATTCACACTAATTCTTTACCCTTTTAATCTTGATGTATTTGTTTTATTAGCTGAATAGTCAATTTCCATTGTATTCAACTGGCTTATATATTTCTTCTGCTATACTCAGTTCTCATCTTCATAAAATAGTCAGAAACAAGTTCTTGCTGAAAGCTATTTTTGTTTCTTTTAGCACTCAGCCCTTATAACAGACCACATGCTAGCCATTACCTGTCTATCAGGTTTGCACATATCAAATTTCCTCATCTGTAGTAAGCTACACAGATTTATATACTTGCTGCAGTTTAGTAATATAATAATGTAACATGTACATATGTATATATACACACATATATACAGTATATACATACATACTGCATATATTATATATATATTCAGCGTGTATATATATATATATATCTTTAATAATTTTGAATATTGGAATCCCAGGTATGGACATTTAAAGTCAATCAGATAAAAATAAAGAGCTCTGGGATGTAAGATAAATGGCTTTTTTTATTAATTGCTGAGCTTCCGTTAACAACCTGTTAACATCATCAGAGCAAAGGGCTAAATGAGAAGGGGGAGTGCATAAATTTACATAACAGTTAAAAAAAAACGGTTGCAGTGAGGCATGTGCACATAACGTGCTTAAGAAGCTCTTAAAGGCATAGAACAGTCAGTCTCAAGACCATTTTAAAAGTTGCGCTTGTCAGCTGTTTGGCGCGTAGATCCAGCGCGCCTTTTAGCCAGCCTCTTGGATTGTATAGTTTGTTTGGTGTAGGGTTGCTGTGTGTGTGTGTTTTGTTGGGTACAGTTATTTGGAATGTTTGTTTGTGTTCGTTTGTTATGCTTATTAGTTGTGGGTGGTTTTGTGGTGTTTGGGAATTGGGCTGTAATATTTTGTTCCGTTGAATGTGATAAGTCTCGGGAGTTTTGGTCTCGGTCTTAATATTCTGTTGTTACTTAGGTGTTGTTTGTGTATGTTTTGTTGTGTGTGAGTGTCTTGTGAGGTTGCAGGATTTATGTTTTGGATGTTTGTGTCCTGGATGTTGTGGTCAGGGGGGTTGTTATTTCTGTGTGTGAGAATATCAGAGCATGGTGTGTTGGTTGTGTGAGTTGTCATGGTTGTGTTAGAATTATATTCTTTAATTAGGTTTGATGAAAAGGATTGTGTTGTAGAAAGGATATCTATTGTGTTGGTTTGGGGTTTGATAAGTGGGTGGAGTGGTGTTTTTGTGTTATTATTGGTTGGGTTGAAATGTTTAGGTATTTTTTGTTTTTGTAAATGTCTTTTTAGGGTTTGGTAGGGAGGTAGTAGGTCTATGTGTCTATTAATAGAATGACAGTCTGAAAACCAAGCTTCTTTTAAAAGATGGCCTCCTTTGGTGGAATCATGAGCAATGACTTCTGCTCCTTTAAAGTTGAAAGTGTGGCCATGCTCAGCTATATGGGTCCAGACTTGGGAGCATTGTTCTTGTCTTCTTACTGCCAAAACATGCTCATGTATTCTGGTTTTAAGTCTTTTTGATGTTTCTCCAATGTAGTTACATTGGCATGTGTTGCAGTTGATCTTGTATACGATGGAGGACAAATCACTGGTTGGTAATGGTTCTTTGGGTCGCATCAATTGGGAACGTAACATTTGGTTGGGTTTATGTGCTATGTTGATATTGTATGGGGCAAGGATCCTGGTGGTTGCTTCTGAGACTCCATTGATGTATGGGAGTGTTGCCCAAGTTGTATTAGTTGGAGCATTGTAGTTTGAGTGTGGTAGTTTTTAACTGTTATGTAAATTTATGCACATACTCCCCCTTCTCATTTAGCCCTTTGCTCTGATGATGTTAACAGGTTGTTAATGAAAGCTCAGCAATTAATAAAAAAGCCTTTTATCTTACATCCCAGAGCTCTTTATTTTTATCTGATTGACTTTAAATACACACACACACACACACACACACACACATTGTGTATGTATATATATATGCACACATACATACACAGACATACACCCACACACACACACACACAAAGAAATCAAAGAGAAAGCTAAAAGTGCAAGAATGCAAAACCAAGTAAAATAAAAATAGAAAAAAGATACAGAAAAGCAAATCTTGTTTACAGAAGTTCTTTACAATTAAATTGTATGGTTGCAACATAACCCTCTTCCTTCTATACTCTGTCCCAGGGATGTCAAACTGCCGGCCTGCAGGCCGAATGCATCATAGCGAAACTGCGCCTACCCCATTGCTGGCAATGGGAAAAAAGTTGTGATATGTTGTGACACATCACGTGAAGTTGCAAGTTTGACACCCCTGCTCTATCCTATGTAATTATCAAAACTATAAAACATGAATTTATTTTCCTCTATTATACACAAAAAGTCTATAAGGGGTTTCCTATCAGCAATAAATGTAGATATTGCCTTTTCTTGATCAAAGTCAATTAGACGCCTCAGCAAGTGCCATGATATTCATCAACCATTTCTCCATTGTAAGTAATGTTGAATTTTTCCATCTTTGTGCAGTTATGATATACACAAAGGAAGTTCTATGACTTTTTTCCAATTGTTTATCTATCAGTCCCAAAAGAAAAAACTCTGGTCTCAATTGTAATTTTTAACATTTTCTGAACCAATGTATTATTTGAATCCAAAATTTTCTAGCTATTTACATATCCATCAAACATGATAAAATGTTCCTTCTTATTGTTCATGTTTTCAACATAAATTTGAAGTTCCTTTATACTTTCTAGATAATTTCTCTGGTGACATACAAAAATTCTGTTTAAGATATAACATAATGTAAACTTCAATGCTTTCAATCACATCTTTTCCCACTGTTCCATTTGTATAGTATAACCAAAATTT